CATACTTACCTTGCAATGCACAGTGTTTCTGAACATTTTACACTAAAAAGTAAGCTTCTCCGAGGACATATGAAGTGAAAAATTGAATAGCAAAGTTCAATGTTCAACCCTCACATTCAAATAATTTCAATTCTTCAACATTCGAACCCTGAACTTGCATTCAACAATACACATCTGAAATCTAAAACAGCAATCTCATCACAAATGTAACTCGAGCATTTCAAATACGAACAAAGTTCAATGTTCAAGCATGAACATTCAAGTAATTTCAATTCCTTCTCTGATACTTAACTTGCAATGCTCAGTATTCCTGATACTTTAACGTTGAAAAGCAAGCTTCTTTGAAAAAATTCAAGTAAAAAGTTCAAGCGTGAACATTCAAGTAATTTCAATTCCTTCTGTCATACTTACCTTGCAATGCACAGTGTTTCTGAACATTTTACATTAAAAAGTAAGCTTCTCAGAGGACATATGAAGTGAAAAATTGAATAGCAAAGTTCAATGTTCAACTCTGAACATTCAAGTAATTTCAATTCCTTCCGTGCTATTTAGTTTGCAATGTACAGTGTCTTGAACAGTTTACACTAAAAGCTAAGCTTCGTCGAGAACATTTAAGTAAAAAATTGAACGTCAAAGTTCAATGTTCAAGCATGAACATTCAAGTAATTTCAATTCCTTCTCTGATACTTAACTTGCAATGCACAGTATTCCTGATACTTTAACGTTGAAAAGCAAGCTTCTTTGAGAAATTTCAAGTAAAAAGTTCAAGCGTGAACATTCAAGTAATTTCAATTCCTTCTGTCATACTTACCTTGCAATGCACAGTGTTTCTGAACATTTTACACTAAAAAGTAAGCTTCTCCGAGGACATATGAAGTGAAAAATTGAATAGCAAAGTTCAATGTTCAACCCTCACATTCAAATAATTTCAATTCTTCAACATTCGAACCCTGAACTTGCATTCAACAATACACATCTGAAATCTAAAACAGCAATCTCATCACAAATGTAACTCGAGCATTTCAAATACGAATCAACATCACAAAATTACCCGAACCATTCACCAACACCTCTAAAACACTTCAACGACCTCGACACACATTCGAAACTTATCGCAAACTCACTTCCACACTTCGACAAGCTTCTAATACCTTCGAACTCCCTTCTTCTTCCAGATACCGCCGCACGCGACTCGACGACGTGGTCCACCGCTGAAACAATCCAGGAAGACCCGAGAATCTTCTCAAAATAATGCGAGCGAAGCGCATCGAGGAGGAGACGCGCTTCAGATTGCTGAGGTACACGCACCGCGCCAAGTGTCGGAAGATCATTTAGTCGATCCTGCGATCAAAAATTCACTCGCGCTCCAAACCGCTCGTCTCACCTGGCTGTGATTTTTCACGACGTTCCCCGATTTAAACGAGGAAGAAGACAACCTGCAGCTGGCTCTGTTCGGGGATCGAGGGACCGGAAATCGAGCCTCGAGACACGGAAGAACGCGCTCCTGATTGTAAACGCAGCGGCTATCGATCGTTCCGCGGGGAACGCCACCCAATAGGAGTCGTTCTTCAGGACTCTGCCTCGAGGAACACCTGACTGTGCCGTGGACGCTGGATTTTCGCGCAGAACCTTGAAAATCTCCGGAGAATTCCCGCGGAAAAGTACCGAATCGCTGTGCTCTCACAGGTATCCCTCTTCTCGAGTAATTTCAAAGGACCGACTGGGAAAAACAAAGCTACAACAATTTTGAAAAATTCTGAAGAGGTAGGAAAGAAACTTAGCTGTGTCTTGGATGTTGAATTTTAGCACAGAGGGTTGAAAATTTTCCGGAAAAATTGGATCGTGTTGAGAACTGCGAAAGGTGGAATTGCAGAAAATTTGGAGAATCCTTGAAGGAGCAGGACGAGGTTATTGTTTCTGCTGAGGGAAGCATTGAATGGGAACGATCTGTGAATTAATGTAAGAAGCATCGAGGAAATGGTGAATGTAAATGGTGGAAAAACGGTTGAAGGAAGTTGAGACGTTGCCGGTGAATTGTTTGAATTGTTTCGAAAAAGGGGAGGAAGTTCGAAGGTGGGAAGAAGCCTTAATCGTCCTGGGTAACGTTCGACAAATAAAAGTGCGCAGAAAGTAGCTGGAATTCGTTAAGTTCTGATCTATTTAAAAGAGAAACAGTAGGGAAAAGTCGAGAATCTCGCGAATAGTTAACGAAGGAAGCTTAAAAAGTTGAAGCAGAAATTGAAGTAAAGGGAATAAACGCGACACTGGGTGGAAGCTTGGTGATATTTTAAAGAAGTTCGTTAAGTAACGCGAGATTGAAGTGAAGAAGAAGAAGAAGGAAGCGAAACGTTTGCGGACTTGATTTAAATATCAGAGAGAAGGAAGCGAGGAGTGTCTCGATTGGAAAAGGTGGAATTTTACAGTTTTACAAAATTTATCGAACGCTCTTTCGCCGAGCTGTCCGGAGAATTGGAAAGTTCTTCGGCGTATCGCGGGAGTTTCCCTTCGGGAAATACGCGGAAAATTCGGCCGGGAAGCCGTGAAATTCGCGGAAAAACCGGTGGCAGCGTGACAAATTCAGCGAAACACGGTCTCCAAGTGGCGGAACAATATCCAGAAGCGCTCCGTTCTGTGCCCGGCAAGAAACGCGATCGAAATTCCGGTAAACCGCGTGGAGAAAAACAGCGTGGCGCAGGATGTCGACGGAAACGTTGATTTTCCAGCGAAGTTCCAGGAAAATTGGTGAAACAATAGTGCAGAAAAATTGAGAAACAAAGTCGAAAAGTGGTGAAACAAACTTTTATCTAATTCGACAATTACTCTTACCAAAATTTTCGCATTTTCAAGTGTTCCGCATTCGTGGAAATCGCTTCTAACAGAGAAAGTGCGAGAAAATATCGATAAACTGCTGTGAAAAATTTCTGAAATTATCGAGTGTTTCTCTGCTTGGCGGCAAAAGTATTCTGAGAAAGTGAGTGTCAGTTTTGGGAAAGGAAAACCAGAAGGAAAACTTGCAAGAGAAACTGTAGGAGCTTGAAATATTCTCAGACACGCGAGAAGAGCATCGAGAACCGCAGTGAAATCACTCGAAATAGAATATTAATAAATCCGGGGAGCAATGTGAATCGGGGACCGAGTGAAACACGAAGATGAAACGAAATGGATTACCGAGAGAGCAACGTCAGCTGGTAGAGACGATTTCCTCGATGCGGTGAAATCGTGACGCGCCGGTAGAAAATTCGTGTACCACGGGGAGAAGACGCGCGATGAACGAGCCTGTGCACCGTGTAAACCGGAAGTGGACGTCTGTCTGGTCTATAAAGGAGAATTCCAACGATTAGCTCGAGTGAATTTCCGTCGAGACGTTGAAATTCGATTGGAACCGCGGCTAAACTCGGTTCAACGTTGAAAGAGGAGACAACCGTCACTCTTGACCGGAAGTAGCCGGTGAAACAACCTTGTTCGAAGGAGAAATCGCGCAGCTAACGTAGGATATCGATCCTTCGTTCTTTCCCAAACTAACTAAAGCAGGAAAATAAGTAGATTCTCTCGCACAAGTGTGCTTGTGTGTGTTCAAAGTGAACAGTGAGAATCGAAGAACCTAACTGAATAAGACAGTGCTGGTGTTTGTTAATTAAAAGAAGACAAAAGGTATTACAGGGTGAATAAAGTAGACAGAGTGTAAGAAAAAAGGGTTGGAATTCGAAGGAGTTTGAAACTGTGAACGAACAATTTCAGCTAGAGAAATATTCCGGGAAGTTTGCTGTCGGTTGGGAAAGGTTTATCCAGCGGAGAAAGAGCGTGTCCATTAGAGGAATTGTTGGCTGGTTGAAAGAAACGGTGTAATTAAATTGATCGATCCGAGCTAATCCCTGAGCCATTCGCAGCCTTTGGACAAGAATGTTGCCGGGCGAAATTAGCCGAATGGCGGAACGGAACGAGGCGAGACAATAGGGAAAATCGGACGTTGTTGAGGAACTGTGCGGTGCAGTTTGGCTGTGAAGAGGGTCGAGACACACGGTTCAAGGGAAGTTCGAGCCTCTGTCACCGAGGATGGCATCTGTTGCGAGCAAACGGTGAATCCTGAGGAGGGTAACAGTTTAGGTTACTTCAGAGAGAAAGTCCAAGTATTTGTTAAGAGTTGAATAGCGAGGAAACTTGTACATTTGATAGAAACGAATTGAAAATGTTAGCTTGGTTCGGGGAGGGAGAGGAATTCGCTGGACAGAGCAAATTTGTCGGTGAGAAAACTGTTGAAACGTGTAGAAAAGAGTGAGGAAGTTTGGAACCAAAAAGAATAGACTCGTACCAAAGAGAAAGAGGATATTGTTATATAGAAGACACCTGAAAGTCAGGAAACTCGAGGAGAAATAGAGAATCTATTCAGTTAACCCTTTGACCAAATCTGAGCAATTTTTCTTGACTTTTGTTTGACAGTTGAGTTTGGTTACTTAAATTCTTCAGAGCCGTCGATAATTGGTTAGCAGTTAACCCTTTGACAAGACCTGAGAATTAAATCTCCCAAATAAGAAGAGAAGGAAAATAAAACATTCCATTGAATTCAGTTACCTAAAATTATTATCCAAATTATTGAAAAGTTTCAAGGGTTGACAGATTCGAGTCAGACACCAAAGGGTTAAGAGGTTAAGAGTTTCCAGCGAGTGACCAAAGGGTTGAAAGGTTAAGAGTTTCCAGCGAGGCAGTAAAGGGTTGAAGGATAGAGAAAAAGGAAACGAGAAGATTGTAGAAGGAAGAAAAGTCGCGTCGAAGAAATTGGTGACAGAGCGAAGGTGGAATAAAATTGGTGTAAATTGATGAAAGATGATAGTTCTCCAGTGCGACCGATGATCAGAACGTTGATCGATCGATCGATAGTCGCGTCGTAATGGAGGTCCAGGTGCAGGAGGTGGATTGTACGAGTACAGTGGTTCGTGGGTCGTGGTACGGGGCTTTGTTCAGCCGGAAGTGGTCCGAGGTGGTTCGAGAGGACGCGGCGCGACAGCTTGCCAACTAAAATGCGAGAGCTGAACGCGACCGCATGCGCTGCCCTGTACGAGCGCGTCGAGTGGTACGACCCGTGGATCCTGGTTACCCTGATTGTGCTCGCGATCGTGAACGTAATGGTGGTACTGGGCAACGTGCTTGTGATACTTGCTGTCTATCATACGAGCAAGCTGCGAAACGTCACGAATATGTTCATCGTTAGCCTGGCCGTCGCCGATTTGATGGTTGGACTCGCGGTGCTGCCTTTTAGCGCCACGTGGGAGGTCTTCAAGGTGAGTTGATCGGACAGTTTCTTGCTTTTTGGGGGGTTTTGAGGGAGATGGGTGCGATTGGGAAGCTCAGTTTCTTTGATTGTGAGTAAGACGAACTGACTACTCTTAGCTTTTTTATTTTGAGTGGGAGGATTGTGATTGGAAGCTTAGTTTTTTGTGATTGCGAGTAAGGTGAGTTGACTACTATTAACTTCTCTATTTTGTGAGGTACTTTCAAGGAAAAGATTGTGATTGGAAACATAATTCTTGTTATTGTGAGTAAAATGAGCTGACTACTGTTAATTTCTCTATTTTTTTAGGTACTTTGAGGGGTAGATTGTGATTGGAAGCTTAGTTTCTGTGATTGTGAGTAAGACGAACTGACTACTCTTAGCTTCTTTATTTTGAGGGGGAGGATTGTGATTGGGAACTTAATTTCTTTGATTGTGAGTAAGACAAGTTGGCTACTCTTAATTTCTCTATTTTGTGGGGTATTTTGACGGGGAATATTGTGATTGTAAACACAATTCCTGTGATTGTGAGTAAGATGAACGGAGTACTATTAATTTCTCTATTTTTTTAGGTATTTTGAGGGGTAGATTGTGATGGGGAACTTAGTTTCTGTGATTGTGAGTAAGACGAACTGACTACTCTTAGCTTCTTTTTTTTTGAGGGGGAGGATTGTGATTGGGAACTTAGTTTTTGTGACTGTGAGTAAGATGAGTTGACTACTCTTAACTACTTTATTTTGTGAGATACTTTCTGAGAGAAGAATAGGTTTAGAAGTTTAGATTTTGAGGTTGAGTGTAGAGTGAGTTGATAACACACCTTAAAGCTTCTTATTTTTCTATCTTTGTTTCTATTCTGATGATAAACAGACATTTTGGAGAAGGTTTGTTTTGAGGAACAAGGTTCTATTTGGAAGATTAGTTTCTTTGATTGTGAGTAAGATGAACTGACTACTCTTAACTTTTTTATTTTGAGGGAGGAGGATTGTGATTGGAAGCTTAGTTTTTGTGACTGTGAGCAAGATGAGCTGACTACTGTCAGCTTCTATATTTTCTGAGATACTTTGAGTGAGAGGGATAAGTTTAGAAACTTAGTTTCTGTGATTGAGGGTAGAGTGAGTTGATAACAAATCTTAAATCTTCTCATTTTTCTATTCTTTTCTTATTCTGACAATGACGAGTTAGTTTAAGGAAGAAACTCTACGTAGAAGTGTCATTTTTGTGATCGAAGAGGAGGATAAAATAAAATTCTTCAAGATGTCCCTTAACTCTTGTACATTTCTATTTCGCTAATGCCAGGGATTTCAAAAAACTAGCTTTTCAAAGTGGAAATTCCTGTAAATCAACAGTACAATTGAACAAACCAGCAAGTTCGATTAAACGAAATGAAATTAAATTGGGCTAGTCGAATCAGTCCGATATTCCCATTTAAATAATTCCCATCGATTAATAGCACATATAGAACCCCCGACAAATTCGATTACGTCAAAACGCCGAACAAAACAGAGAAAATAAAATTCGTCATTTTATAAAGCTCGACAAAGGGATACGTTTCGAAAGAATATAAAAATTTCATTAGAAAAACACAAAAAATACAGAAAAAACAGACACAGTGCGCATACGCTACAGAACGAATTATAACCGTGTAGCCAGTAAACCCTCGAAACTCAATCTTTTTCGCCGGGAAAAATTGTGGAGAACCCGGTTGGCAGCTATCTGGTACGCGACCGCGAGGCAATATCACGCTCTATACCCCAAAATTAAAAAAGCTCCGCCGTGGAAAAGGGAGCCAGACCCTTCAAAGCAAATCTAACACCGGAAACATCGGCCCCTGATCGACGATTTTTCATCGTTCACCAGAGCTGCTCTCAGTTCCGCGTCGTCCTTTGATCTCTCGCCCATTCGATGATACTTTCTCGCCGATCGATCATCTCTTCTCTTTCTTCTCTTTTTTCACTTGCTTCTTTTTTTTTTTGCTACCCTCTTTCTCTATTTCCTTTTATCCGCGAATATGTGGCAAGGAGGCGAATCGAGCGGTGCCAAATCGTGGCGAAACGACGATGAGTTGGCGAGTTCCTCTATGGAAGGATTTTTGACTTTGGAGCGCCTCTTTGGTGTCGCGAAATTCGCAACTCTGCGACGAGCGGAATGTCTCTGAGTGCATTTGTTGAACGTTTTTTTCAATTCTCCTGCTTCCTTTTTGCGAGTTTTTCGAAGATTTAGTGAGAAAAGCTGGGTTTTCTCGAATTTTGGGAATTAAATGTTGAAATTTCTAATTTTGGAATCGTGGAATTGTGGAAATTAAATGCTGAAGTTTCGAATTTTGGCATATTGTAACTTTGGAAATTAAATGTTGTTGTTTAGAATTTGGGAACTTTGTAACTTTGGAAATTAAATGTTGAAACTTTGAATTTTGAAATTTTGGAAATTAAATGCTGGAGTTTAGAATTTTGGAATTTTGAAACTTTGGAAATTAAACGTTGAAATTCAGAATTTGGGAACTTTGTAACTTTGGAAATTAAATGTCGAAGCTTTGGAAATTAAATGCTGAAACTTCGAATTTTGGAAATTTTAAATCTTTGAAAATTAAATATTGTGATTTTGAATTTTACAACTTTGTAACTTTGAAAATTAAATGTTGAAATTTAGAATTTTCGAGTTTTGTAACTTTGGAAATTAAATGTTGAAACTTCGAATTTTTGAAATTAAACGTTGAAATTTGGAATTGCGAAATTTTGGTAATTAAATGTTAAAATACAATTCTTGAAATTTTGGAAATTAAAGGCAACAGATGCTTTCAAGAAGTTTCTTAGTCACATCAAAATGAAAATTAGAGAATTGGTTGGTTTGAACACTAATTTCTTAAGAATAATATTATACACACAAGAAGGAACATTGATAATTCACTGAACGTAAGTTTCAGTACAAAATTAGCATATTTTGTGGAGGTTAAGTAGAACAGACGTTCGACGAAGTTTCCATCTTATCTCTCGGAGAAGATTGGACCTTTTTCGACATTTATTTTCGGATCAGAAAATTGACCATCTCTCATATTTCTGTAATATTTTCTGGGAAAAATACCCCTCCTGATAGAAGTTTTAATAAAAGTTCACGTACTTGTGGAAATAATCTGGACGAAATTTCCGTACGATTTAATTTCGGATCACATTTACTCTCGTTTATTCCAGTTTAATCAAGCAACAGAGTCTACTTTAATACCGTTTTTCCCTTGAGGAAAAAAATCGCCAAGCCACGTCTATATATTCGAAACTTTTAAATTCCCCAAATTGTTGGAAGGTTTAATTTCAAATATTCCCAAGGGTCGATTTAATTTCAATTAAAATACAAAATAAACACGAAAACGGATTATTATCCACCTACGCGAAATACTTGGCGAAAAGAGGAGCTGTAGTTTAAAACTGCTTGTACATTTTTTCATCCTCACGTGAGTTGGAAGGATTAATTTCAAATTTTCAGATGGCTCGATTTAATCTCAATTAGAAAAACAAAATTAGAACAAAAACAGGTTATTGTCGATCTGCACAAATTATTATACTTTACGAGAAAAAGTAGAAAGGTACCTTCTTCATCTTCAAATTTTCTCTGAAGTTTACTATAATTAACAGGCAGCAAATAATAAAAAGAAATTAACACAAAGTCAGAGTATTATTAACATACATAAAATACTTTTCAAAAGAAGAAACCATAATTTAAAACAACCTGTTCCTTTTTTCCCCTCAAATTTCCTATGAAGTTTACTATAGTTAACAAACAGAACAAATAAAGAAGAAATTAGAATAAAATCAGGTTATTATCGACATACATAAAATACTTTGCAAAAAGGGAAATTATAATTTGAAACTACCTGTTCCTTTTCTTCATCCTCGCACTTTTTTGTAGAGTTTACTATGTTTAACAAACACAGAAAATAATTTTAAAAATTCGAATAAAATCAGAGTACTATTGACATACATAAAATACTTTGCAAAAGAAGAAACCATAATTTAAAACAACCTGTTCCTTTTTTCCCCTCAAATTTCCTATGAAGTTTACTATAGTTAACAAACAGAACAAATAAAGAAGAAATTATTCCCCCTCAAATTTTCTATAGATTTTCCTATAGTTGATAAACACAGCGAATAAAAAAAAATTAGAATAAAATCGGGTTATTATCGACGTACATAAAATACTGCGGGATTTTGTTAAATACTGTTGCGTTTACCACGCGACGCCGGAGCTGTTCACTTATAATCTGCTTCCTTTCTTCTCACCGCTGCTCCGATTCGTTCTCTTCCGGCTCGATGTTTCCCGTTTTTTTTTACACTCACACACCTCACACTCTTCTTCCTTTTCTCCACGCATGCATCCACACACACACACACACCGCGATCGGCTTGACAACCCATGTTATTGTCTAAACATAAACAAGTGTGCCATTCACACCACTCTCTCACATTCACTCTTTCATACCAAACCCCCCACAATACTTCGCAAAAAAAGAAACCATAATTCAAAACTACCTGCACACTTTTCCCCCTTAAATTTCCAATGGATTTCCCCTCAGTTAACGAACGCAACAAATACCAAAAAAAGAGGGAACACCCGCCACAAAGCGATCTTATATCATTTTCCACCCACATTCTCACACCGTTAATTAGAAACCGCCGTGTAAAAATGTCGAGGAAAAGTTTCCTACAGGAAAAACGAGGAGAAAAGAAGAACGGTTATTGTTGGCGAACCGTGGAGGAAAGTTCGGCAGAAAATATCTCCGGACAATTATCTCGGCCATTATAGCAGTCTGGCCGGGCCAGGTTGAGTATATTCAGCGCGGTATGATCGCAAGCCACGAAGAATTCGCGGCAAAAAGCGTGCGGGCGAAATAACCAGAGGAATACAGGGGTGGGTTAGGCGCAACAGTTTGCTGGCTTTCGTCCTTCGTTTCTTCCTGGCCTGGCCTCCTTCGTTCCAGCCAACGGAAGATGAACGTTTAGGGGAAAGGGACTTGGAAGATTG